GTGTGTGTGTGTGTGTGTGTGTGTGTGTGTGTGTGTGTGTGTGTGCATGCATGAACACATTTGTTGATGTTTGGCGTCTTCTTCCATCACTTTCCTTCTTGTTTTTTTTTTAAGACTTATTTATTTTAAATATGCATTTATTTATGTGTATGTATTTGTGTGTGTTTATGTATACCACATATATGCAGGTGCTGGAGGGAGTTAGAAGACAATGTTGGATCCCCTGGACCTGGAGTTACAGGCAGTTGTGAGGTACCTGATGTGGGTGCTGAGAAAGAACCCGGGTCCTCTGCAAAAGCTGTTCAGTGCTGTTACCCGATGGGCCATCTCTCGGGTTTCTTGGTTTTATTTATGTGTTCGAGCATTTTACCTGCATGTGCATCTGTGCACCATGTGTGTTCAGTGCCGGGAGGTCAGAAGCGGGTGTTGCATCCCTTGGACCTGGAGTCACAGATGGTGGTGAGCCACCCTGTAGGTACTGGGAACCAAACCCAGGTCCTCTGCAAGAACAAGTGCTCTTAACCAGTGACCCATCATCCCTCCAGCCCCTCCAGCCCCTCCGCCTGCACCATGATCTCTCACTGAACCTGGAGCTCACGCACTCTGCTGGCTCACATGTCCGGTGAGCTCCAGGGATCAGCCTATCTCTGCACCCCGACCCCCACTGGTATTACAATCATGCATGAACGCACGGCTTTTTATGGGGTTCTAGAGATTTGAACGTAAGCCCTCATATTCGTTTGACAAACAGTATGTACTGAGCCATCTACCCGGGCCCCTGCCTGTAATGTGTATTATCTTACTCCATTTTAGTGCTGTGGGCTAAATCCAAGGTCTCAGGCATTGGCCTGCTAGGTCACTGAGCTGCATCCTGTCTTTGGATGTCAGTTTTGCGTCTGTGCATGCCAGTGGCTTCAGCTGTGAAACAGATGCTTGTGGTTCTAGGTGAGGATGAAATGAGATGATTCACAGCCCCGCCTTTGGCATCTGATCAGCTGGTGGAGGTCAGAGAGACAGGCAGCCAGGGAGGGTTCTCATTCATGAGGAAGGAGACAGAGTGTCCCTTCCTCAGGAGGACATTGCTTCTTCCTGTCTCTTGGACTCGGCTCCAGACCACACCGCGCAAGCTGGTAAAGAAAACAGGGTAGCCACAGTTAGCAGGGCTGAGGAACGGAGACTGGCTCCCAGCCTGACTTCTCTTTTGGATCTTGATTCCTGGGCTCCCCCTCCCCCTTCTCTGGAAAAGTCACAGCATCATTCTCCTTGATGTGGTTTGGAGCAGACCTTCCCACATGCTCGGCTTCACTCCAGGGCTGGCCAGTGGGTAGGTGTATCACTTAGGCACCATGATCAGTCCAGGGTTGAACAGATGACCAACATGGGCTAAACAGATGCAATCTTGGGACTTTAGCAGGGGCTCTGAGGCAGCAGAACTCTTTCCTCCTGGGGTTCTCTGCTTCCTAGCATTGAGCCTTGAATGCCACCACCAGGGAGACCTTTCACCTGTATTTGCAACCAGTCCCGGTGATGGGATTCAGAAGCCCAAGATCGGCCATAGGCCAGCCTAGATATTGATTGTCTGTGCAGTTCAGAGCCAGGCAACGTCCTGCCCCGAAGCTCTGTCAACAGTGGTCTATGGCCCTGTCCTGTGGAGTACACAAGCCTCAAAAGGCCTGGGTGAGGTGCGTGGACTGGGGCTTGTTGATGTTCCCAAATAGAAGGAGGGGATAGGGAGAGTCAATAGCTCCTTCCCAAAGCCAGGACCAAGGTGGTAGCCAGATGACAACATTTTGTAAGCTCCTTCATTTGGTGGAACTGTGACACTTCACATCATTACCAGTAATTTAGTATCCAGGACTAAGGAAGGTTTTCTCTATATTCTTGCCTTTCTGGCCCATGGAGCCCTGGTTTAAGCCATCACCTGGCCTTCTGAATACTCCCTGGTTACCCTAGCAACAACCAATGTGGATAAAGAAATTTTTCAGCCTCCTTCCCTGCCCCTATTTCTCTGGAACTCTGCAACACGCTCTGCTGCATGGGCCTGATTTCTCTGCAGCTCCCCAGCCATGCTGCTGTTTGCCTGCCTATGATGTTAAACTTATTACTAATTAGAATAAAGTTCTCATGAAAAGGACAATGCAGGGCTCAGGGGTTAAGAGCACACTGGCTGCTTTGCAGATGACCCAGGTTCAACTCCCAGCAACCACACGATGGCTCACAGCACCTGTGTCTCTACTTCCAGGGGATCTGATGCTCTCCTCTGGCCTTGCAGACACCAGGCGCACATGTGGTATGCATACATACACGCAGGCAAAACATTCATACACAGAAAATAAAAATAAATAAATAAAACAGAAAAAGAAAAACCCTATTTTTAAAAATTTTTTTTTTAAGAGAACAATCCTTCTCAGTGTTCCCCTTGAGCCCTAAGCCCAGAACCTTTCATAAGGACTCTGATCACTTAGGGTAATGATCCACAGGAAGATTCCACCTCGACAGAGGTCATAGGCATAGTGTCACATCTGGAGAGGTCCCCACTTGCCCCCACTAGCACCCGTCTCCGGCTTTCCAGGGATTAGGCAAGTGCCTCTGGATAACAGGCTCTAAGAACACTACTGCGTTCTGCAGGGGATGCTGGGAAGTGTGGTTCACTGGCTTCCAGGCCTTGCAACACCAACAGCTACGGAGAAGTTGCTAACAGATCCTCTGGCTCTACAAGGGCTATAAAGTGTCCTCCATCAACCTGGCACGCGAGTGTCTCCTTGTGTTCCCTACACTTGGTGTCCCGGCCAGGTGGCCAAATTCTTCTCTATCTGTCTGGTTATTTGAAAACTCAGAATGGCAGCCTGCCCTCCCCACAGGGCAGAGTGAGGATGGGTGTTTAACGTGTATGGCAAGCTGAGCGCAGGGCCTGGTGCCTACTGAGTGCCCAGCACACGCCCACTGCTCTGCTGGTCAAGTGACCGAGCGCTCTGGCTAGGAGCCTCAGCTGCTTTGTTTGGCTGCCCCACTTCCAATGCCCTTTCTGCCGTGTGGAATTCTCCACTGCGCTGGCTTTGGGGGTGAGGACCCGGGGCAGTCAGACTTTGATCTCTACAACGCAATACTGGCGAAAAACAAGGTAAGGGAGGGAAGGCTCCCTTGGCTCATGGTCTCAGAAATGTCTGTTCATTTTAGTTCTGTTGTTTCTGGAGACAGAAAGAGGGTATGGGCACACAGCTTCTCACTTTATGGCAGCCAGGAAACAAGGGGGCAGGAGGGACAGAAGGGTCGGGGCAAGATAAACCCCTAAGGACCATGCCCCAGTGACCTACTTCCTCCAGGTAGGTAGGCCCCACCTCCCACTCTCCAGATCCTCCCAACATAGTGCCAGAGGTGGAGACCAAAGTCTCAACATGTAACCTCTGGGAGGCATTTCGCACAGAAGGAAACTCCAGCAGGAAGCGACCCTGTTCCTCCATTCCTGCTGGAACCAGGACCAACAGACGAGGAGAGTTCTTGCTGCAGCTGCAGATGCAGTGGTCTACAGGCCTGCTGTTGTGGTTTGGCTGTGGACCATCCCCAGCACACCGTTCAGAGGTCGTTAGTGCCTCGGTGAAGGGCCTGGAACCTTACCGCTTCAGGTTTGCTTTGAGACAGGATCTCACACAGTCCAGGCGGACCTGGAACTCAGGGTTCCACTGGCTTCTGCCCCCTCAGTGCCGGGGTGAAAGGGGTGTGTGGCCACCCCACGCCCTGGATTCCCTTTATAACTTGAAGAGGAACAGTTTTTATTTTGCCTCATGGTTTCATGGGGCTCGGTCCTTCAGGGGAGGGAGCACAGAGCCGTTCACACCGTGGCAACTGGGCAGCAAAGGGCCACAGCAGGTGGCAGTGCCCAAGGACACACGTCCTCCTTCCCAGCACCTACCTCTCCTGTAAGTTCCACATCTCTGGTGTTTTGTCTCGCGGCAGCAAGCCGACTAACACGCAGTGTGTAGCAACCAGGGCGGTGTGAGAACCACACCAAGTTTCCCATCAAAACTAGGTACAACTAGAGCAGGCATCGTGGTGCACACGGGTCTCTGTGAGTCAGAGGCCAGCTAAAGTTACACGGTGAGACCCTGTCCCAAAAACAAACAAGCAAACAACCCAGTAAAGTAAAACTAGTTTTAACTGGTTCTAGCACATTCTCCAGGATTCTCTTTTGGATTCTCAGTTATCTTATTGATAAATTAGCATTTTACCAGGGTAGACAGTGAGTCTTGGCAGCTGCGTGGAGGAGGGAGAAGGGGTAGAGGAAGGGAAGGCCATGTTGTTCATAAGCAGCCACATGAATGGGGGCGGGGTGGGATGATAGCTTCAGGGAAAGAGGGAGAAAGCCCGGAACACCAGGGAAATCACACTTCGACTTCGAGAAAAGATCAGAAAACAGAAAAGGGAGAAGGGTGAGATTTCTTTGGGAAGGTGAGTCTGTGACCTTACTAAGGGATCGTTATTCTTGCCATCTCCTTAGCATGTGAGTCAGCCTTCCTGAGGAGTGGTTTCCTAGTTAGGTGATTGACAGGCCCAGATAGATGAACCTAAGAGATGAGACAGCAGTATGTAATGTTCTTTTCGGAATAGGTCAGAAGGTCAGACCTGTTTCTACACAGGGCCAGAGGTAGTAGATTCCTTTTTTTTTTTTTTTTTTTTGCACACGTCTTTAGTCGCCATTCTGGAAACGG